AGTATAAATAAACACATAAGCACAAACAACGCATTTCCAATAATCACACAAGCTTTATTTATACAAATGTTATTTTATTGCCTTTACTGCGTTTATACTAGAATCTTAACTGTATTAAGGTAATAGTATTATTGCATAAAAAATAGGTTATATTTTGTTCTTAGGCAGCTCGAGCCCATAGGGAGAAGTAAATTAGTTGAGTGTAAATAGTAAGTTTAGTTCCCCTGCCACACGGAAAAGTTAATATATTTTGATTAAATGATACGGGATTTAATCAGCTCGATGTGTTGAGTGATTATACGAGCATCGCAAGCTGATTTGTCGGCCCCATATTGTCATTCAATCGAGATCACATTAATTTTAATTCAGTGACTGCACGCGATAACATCGCTTACATGATCGTGACACTTGTCGAGCCGTGTCCGCGTTGGCTACGTCTACCTGATTTTTAACTGATCTGTATTGCTGTGTCCAATCACTGCGTGTCTCGCCATTTTGTTGAAGTATTTCTGTGTAAAATATGCATTCCTACAGCAATAATTGCGTCACCCAATGTTTTGGACTTAAAACAATCACATTTTTTTATAGACGTCTTCTACTCATACCTCGTGCCATTTCGTACCGATTATTTAGCGGTGTAGTGTTTTGCCCATGTAATAAAGCGTTTCTTAGACCCGTTGCTATGTGCAGCTTTCATTTTAGTTAATAAGACAGGCGTATGTGATGAAAAGCGCGCTACGACGGTCGATCCACGCGCGTTGCATTCGCTTCGACGCGCGCCCCCTGTTGGCCTTCCTTTGCGCCGTCACGAGAAGAGCGCTACCGCCTTGTTTCTAGGAGGTGTTGGCTCCGCTTGCGCGCGCGAGAGCGAGGTGGAGAGGGGAGACGAGAGAGAGAGAGAGAGAGGAAGGCAGAGAGGGAAGGAGCTCCGGTTGCGCAAGCTTCGTTCGCTCGTTCGCTTGCGCACGCGTGAGAGAGAGGGAGAGAGGCAGAAAGAGAGAAAGGGAGAGAGAGGAAGAGAGAAAGACGGGAAGGGAAAAGAGGAGGGAGAGAGAGAGAAACCAACGATGCTCAAGGTCTCGTTAAGTTCTATAAAGCTAGAGGATTTCGTCACGTTTGGTTTAATGAACGTGAAGCGAAAAATAAGGACTCTTAACCAAAAATTTAATAAACATAAAGGGTAAACATAAAGGGCAAATGTTTATTAAATTTTTGGCTAGAGTCCCTAGTTTTCGCTTCATGTCTATTCCTAACCAGGCAGAAAGCTGCCGAACGTTTACCATCAAGTCTAATGAACGTACCTATAAATTTTATGGCAGATGATAAATTGCGGTACTTAACGAACGCACTATACTGAACTAAAACAAACTTCTGCACAAATTCAATCAAAATATTTACAAACAAAATAAAATTCCAGTTAAAAACCTCTCCTGTAAGAAAAAAAAAGAAAGACGTTTACATATCTCTGTAATGCGAAACTATAGCGCAGGTCTTAGGACGAGGAGGGGAGGGAACGAAGGGGAGGGTATGCCCCCTCTTTCTCCGTTCCCTCTCCCCTTCCTTCTCCCATCCTCCCCATGCTCCTGCTCTCCTCGTCATCTTCTCCCTCATCCTCACCTCCTCCTCCTTCCCTCCTCACACCCTCCTCCTTTTCTCCTGCCACTGAATTTGTTCATGGGTGACTTGACACGAAGTCGTGGCGTCATTTTCCCGCTAAATTTAACGGGGAAACTGAATTATTGTTGAGGTCACCGGACGTCGATTTCCTTACTAAATTTAGCGGGGAAACTTAACCCGCTAACTTTAGCGGAGAAGTGTTTTCGTTAAATTTAGCGGAAAATTTTTTTTCCTAAATGTTTCCGCGAATTTAGCGCGGAAATTTCTCCGCTATATTTAGCGTCAAAATATCTTTGATAAACTCAGCGAAAAAAATTTCCCTCTAATTTTAGCGAAAAAATTTCTCGCTAAATTTAGTATTTAGTAAATAGGTAACGAGTTATTTTGTACCTTAAGAAACTGAAAAGGCAACGCTGTATTAACCAGTTCGTGCTGGTCAACGCATCTTGCAACTTAACAGCGAAGGCTTTTTTTTTTTTCTACAGGAGCAAGTGGGCGAGTCCTCAAGGTTCTCCGACGGAGATCAGGCCCTTCTGATCGAAGCGGCGAGTGATAAGAAATCTTCGAAAGGGAATCAGCATCGCTTGAAACATAAAAGTAAATCCTGGGGCGAAGGTAACAGCAACATCATTGACATGGCGGCTCTTAACTCAAGAACTCAAGAAACACTGCAGAAAGCGCCGGCAAAAAACTTAGCGCTGCCAAGCGCTCCGCGCGTAACGGGCAACAAACATATTAGAAAAAAGAATCAGAAGGAAGCCTTATTCAATATTGACCATGAGGATATAAAACGAGTTCAGGAGAACGCGCCGCAAAAAGATACAGTGAGCTCCAACCCTAAACAAACAAGCCAGAATTTCTCCGAAAAGGCGTTGGTACGGCTAAGGTTAACGACGAAGAACCAATCAAGAAAACCCAAAACCTATGATGGAGATACAGATCAGAAGGATTCTTTTCTCGACGAGTCCCCGGAAAAACCGCGGGGTAAAGATTCTCCACATACGGGGCAGCCTAACCAGCGTCGCTCACGGGACTCGTCTACCGATCAACGCCCGTCGCCCTACACCGAACTCACTCAAAAGCCAACTTCGAAGCGCCAAAGGAGAGATTCCTTTAAATCTCGGGAGACGTCAGGTAGCCAGAAAAATGCTAAGCGCGATCCTAATAGCACCAAGGACAGAAAAAAAACTACCCAGGATGCAGAGTCGTCGCTGATGAGTACATCTTCAGAGAGTCTGCCACAGGCGCCAGCGGGCTCGTGTCTAGGTTCCAACACGGTCATGACGGACCCAGATTCAATGTTAAACACGGGGATGATTGGCATGCCACCCGACATCGATGGCGTCCTTGACACCTTTGAGAGGACCCTCGAACCAAGTCTTCTTTTGGAAATCCCAATAGCGTCTGTATTCCGCTCTGATCCTTCTGACACCGGCACCAACCTATCACACAGAAAAGCTCGAACGGAATGGCTCAATGCAACGGGAACGACCACAGGCGCGTCTTCGGGCTCAGTAGATCGTAGTTCGAGGCCAGAAACTGAGACAAGAGAAGACGAGGGAGAAATATCAGTGAGACCAAAAGCTACGAAGGTAAGAAGAGCGAGTGGGGTGCAAAAGGCGGCTGGAGAGGCGGTGTCAGCGTTGGAGCCGGAAGAGTCCCGCGATTTCCATTGGAGTACTGCGAAAATTCCCAGCTTTACGACGTTGGACATCAAGTGGAGCACGAACAAACTGTGCATCGGTGACGCACCAGCGTTCGATCTCCATGAGATGCGTCAGATGAAGTTTTCCGTCACTGACCTCGCTATTCCGTATCTTGGAGGCCAAGGTACCACAAAGAAGAGCATTCTGGGAAAATCGCTTCACTCTAAAGACAAGAAGTCAAAGGGCGGTAAACGCCACAAGCACAGATCGTCATCAAAGAAACGCTCTAAAAGGAAAAAGAGAAAACGAAAAAAAGAGCACGGCACATTGAGCAAATCAGCCTCTGTTTCAACGAAGGAGTCACCAGGAGCCTCTGCCAAGCCCGGCACCAATGTTGCTGAAAATGCTGGCACGAACGTTATACTACCAACGCAGGAGATTTCTCCCACTGATGCGACGTCGACTAAATCGACGAAGGAGTCATCCCAAAAGAGCAAGAGCAGCCATAAAAAGAGTAGGAGGAAAAGAAGACACGCTAAATCTTCTTCCAAGAGGAAAAGGTACAAAAAATCTAAGAGCCGGAGCAAAAGCGATCGCACCTCACGAAAACGCAAGAAAAGTGGAAGGAAAAAGAAGAGAAGGAGCAAGAGCCACAGAGCCCGAAAGAGTGGGAAGACTAGAGATTCGTCAGCTGCAGATGTTAAACATGAAACAAGCGTAATTGTCACACAGTGGACAGACTGGCCCAATGCGACCCGCTCTTTTGTTATATCTTGCCTCTGCATAGTCATACTCTTGTCATTGATTGGTGTCGTGATGGTAGCGTATAATATTATTGGCTTGGGGACGACGCTCACCCCAGGTTCCGAGGTACCATCCACCAAGTCCTCGTCTTCCGAGAGCTTTTCTCCAGAAGCCACTGTTCAGTCAACGACCGCTGCAAGCATCCAGACACCGATTGCTTACCACTGCGCATCCTCATTTTGCCGGCAGGAAGCTGTCTATCTGAAGTCGCTTCTAAAAGTTGAAATGGAACCATGCGAAAACTTCTACCATTATGTCTGCGATGCGTGGTCTCAGCAAAATACGGCCGATCGCAGTGTATGGGCTCTTGTTTCACGAGACACCATTCTACAGGATGAACTCGCACGCAAGCTGCTTGATGCTGTAAAGAAATCGAGCGAATCGGACGTGGCGGTCGCTGCGCGAATGCATCATCTCTGTGCTCAGCAGCCACATAACGGGTCGCAGGCATTGCTTTTTGCTCGAACGATGTTTAGCGATTGGACCATCGCACAATGGCCTATCACCGGCGGTGTTGAAAAGCTCGACATGGTTTGGGATTTCGCCGCGGAGATACATCGCGATCTGGATATTTCTTCATTAATTGCTTTAACTATTGGAGTCAATCCAGAAGATAATGGCCAAGTAGCCCTTGAACTTAGTCAGCCTCATTTTTTACTCAGTGAGATGGACATTAATCGTTGGGACCAAGTTCAGCATCTTATTCGCGGCGCCATTGAGCAAACGATGGCAGAGTTCGAAGGGCAAGCATCCGAACTTTTGGTTGACGAAGTGATACATATCTTTCAATCGTTCGGTGCAGTCCGCTCGACGTCAGTGTTAGGAACCCAAAGATTTATGAAGACAGAACGTTTGGACGCTGGCATTCAACGACTTTTAGCGAAACTCCTAACCTCTGTCACGCAGTCTGGCACTCCTAAAAGCGTCGTTTTGATGTCGCCGGCTTATATTGAAACAGAGCTCCCATCGCTCTTGAACGAGCTGGAGCCACGGGCCCTGCTTAACTACATGGGATTGATGGTGCTGATTCAGGTGGCACCGTTCTTGTCCGAAAGGCTTACCGATCTCCGAGAGCTCTTCGCTAAAAGCTTCATAGGACGCACTGTTGCGAACGCGGCAGATTCCTCTCTTCTTTGCATCTACTCAGTGGAAAAGCTCCTGCCTGGCTGCTTCTCCAAGGCGGCATCGGCGCTCCTTCGGCAGAGTGGCGATGATCTGGTCATGCGTGAGTGGACGTCCAAGCTGGACTCGGCCTTTAGCATTCAGGCGAAGTCTGTTGCCTGGATAGACCAGCTCTCTGCTTTGCTACTCCGCTACCGCACCGTGCGGAGCCCCATCAGTCGTTTCGGCCCCGGCGATCAGCCATGCAGTCCTAGTACTCAAGAGACAAGTGGCATTGCCCTACTGTTCTACTTAGAAGTGTCTAAGCTGCAGCATGAACGAAAAATCCGCGATATCTTGAAGGGTAGCGCGCACCTTAAGAGACAGTCGTACCACTCTGACCTAAACACGCAAGCCCAGTACCAGCCCGCCTGGCAAACCGTCTACGTCCCGACGGCACTCTTAAACACGTCCGTTCCGGCCACGGGGACCGCATCCGCGTTTCACCTGCCACGCTTTGCTCTGCGTTACTATCTGGCGCTTGTGGAGATGCTCTTCGAGAACTACTACCAGGGAGAAGTTCAAGTCAGTTTCTCCAACGACGCGCATAGAAAGCTTACCTCTTTGTTGGCCTGCCTGAAGGACGACCTGGGAAATCTTCCCGTCAAGTTGAACTCTTCTTGGCAGCCCAGAATGGAAAGCTTACCCCGCGCGGTTCTCAACCGAATCCTCGCTCTTAGGTTCGCCTACAATGCCTTCCTCGACCAGCTTCACGTCCGGCGAGTCTGGGGCATGGACTTTCGCTTCGATGGGCTCCCAGAGTTGTCGGCTGCTCGGCTTTTTTTTGTCTACTATGCTCTCGACAACTGCGAATCGACGGGCGTGGCCTACAACGGTGGTCCGTCCACGGACCTTCCAGCCAGCTATAGGGTCAACATGCCTCTGCGTTACCTGGAGGAATTTATATCAGCCTTCACATGTAAATTCTATCCTACTTCGTCATGTAATGTGTTTAAAGCAGCGGAAATAATGGCCCAGAGCCATGGTTAACGCCCTGATTCCAAAGTTTGAGGAAAATATTGATAAAACGTTGTAGATATTTACATAAAGTGACCATTTTGTTGAATCCTTCAAACGTACAAAAAAGACGTGCGCTGAAGTTTGTCCCGTCATACCGCAGACTGACGAAATAATTGCAAGCGCGGGTAGGTAGCTTTACTATGGGCTCCCACTAAGCGATTATTTTTCACAGCGTAAACATTCTCCAATGCTACATCCTTATCCCTAGAGCGTTTTTGTGATTTATGTTAAGGTGAGGCATGCACAGTTTATTTGTTAAGACATTTTATTTAAGAACTTGGTGCTCGATAACGGTACATGTTTTAAAAATTACTTCTTGTGATACTTGTTAGAGAAGGCGTTCACAAGCTATGCTAGTGCTAAATAACGTGACATAAGAGTTGATATAAGGTATTCTATGTGATAAATTACTATATATGTAAAAAAAAAAAAAAAAAAAAACCTTCAAGGAGTTGTTTGACAAACCCTTCTCAGGAATTCGCACACGTTTTACAATCTTCACGAAAAATATTTTAGTCCTATATTTGGCGGAATTTGTGTGCTCTTAAATTTAGAGACATGTTGGAAAATTAACGTAGTTCTGTTTAAACAAAATAAAAAAAAAATAAAGAACTGCGAGGAAACGACGATTGGAATCAGGGCGTGCCTGCGCCTCTTGTGGAACCGCTTAAAATAAGCAGAATATTAATGATCCCGCTAATTTTGTGTTATTGTTAATTTTTCGGTTGTATACTACTTTTCAAGTTGAGCCATCTTATGCGCGGGTTCAGATTTGCGCGTAAAATTAACTCTATTTGTACAGACGTAGTGTGTCTCCAGACTGCAGTTTTATTCATGAAGGGCACATTGGGGGGCGGGGGCTGATGTGTAGCTTTGCAACACGTTCCGTTGTTGACTCAAAATGAAGGTAATATTGAAAAATTACTTCACTTCAAATGTCCCACAAGCAATCTCAGCAGTTTTAAACAGCCACACATCGGACTGACATTGCTTAAATCAATTTCTTCAGCTCGTTGAATCAGATGTCGTCATCCATAAGAGAAAGCTAATATCATTTTGACTGTGCGTCCTCTTAAAATGTCTTCGAAATTTTTATGAATGAAGCCGAAATGATGTCTGATCCAAAATATGATTTTCTTTTTAAATCGCCAATTTCCGAGAGCAATACCTGATCTTCTACGCATCGACAACCTATCATGTCAAATATCTTTCGGCTCAACTCTACGTTTGAGCCAAAACATTTGATACATTAAAAAGTATTTTAATTCTGTTCCGAACTTCCTTATTCTGAAAATAGCAAGAATGCAGCTCTGGCATAATGTAGGGGGTATTCACTAGACGCCATATCTGAGTGCGCTGCTCGGAGCGCATGCTCATAATGAGCTCACATTAGCAGGTTGCTAAGACCTCCAATCTTGACGGTATTGAATCCAGGAAAAAACAGTGGGATCTCGCCATCAGCATGCGCTCAGCAGTCGCACTCACAGCTCTGGGCCGCCGGTGAATACTCTCCATAGACAGAAAGGTGGTAAAATGTGGACCGAAAATTTGATTAACCAGAGAATTCACTTGGACAATATTTTGTAAATTCCGTCTTGAGTTCTGCATAAGCTATACTAGGTTTCATACTTAAAGCCTCGTCCCTCTAGAGGGTCAAACTGAAAGTTTTGTGGGGCAAGAAGGTACAATTGTGTGTCGTTGATACTGTCCCACCGTAGCCACAAACACGACCGACAAATGCCGACAAGCGATAGACGACAAAGCAGTTGTTGTTTGTCGTCTGACTTGTATCGCCGACCGCGCGGAGCGGCAGCCCCCCCAGCGAATAACGCTCGCTGACGAACCTGTCCTCCAGGATGGAAAGCTGGGCCAGTTGGCTGTGATAAATGACAATCAGAAAGCGCACAACAAAGAAGGACAAACAAGAAGACACATGCCGACAGCGCTTTCGCGCGTGCGCCCGCTTAAGCGCCGCGTTGTTTACTTTGCCTGCATCCACCTGCTACCGCTCCTTGAGCTCGCTTGTCGCCGTCCGCGCCTTGCAGCTGCTTTGGCGACGTGTCGCGAAAGGCGCCATAGCAGCGGTGAGTGCCGCTGTTACGGTTATCTTAATCGTCGAAGCGAAGGGTGGCAGCTTTCCCGCGTGCTTTTTATGATACCTATATCACTCTCATGAAAAAAGGGTGTAAAAGGGTGTATCGTTACACCCGTTGTCCCATATAATACACCCCAAAACTTCATTTCGACGTACTGAGCCCTATAGTCGAACAGACGGCCCCAAATTTTACGAGGGGCTTGATAACGGTGCGATATAACTTCTTAAATAGCTAAAGTACGTATCAAAGACCACATAAAGAAAACATCGAGTTTTTACAGCAGGGCCAAAAAAACCCCGATTATTTTGTTTTGTACTCAGTAAAACGTACATTAGCTTTTTTAATAAGTTGTACCACACGGCTATCAAGCCCCTCGTAAAATGTTGGGCCGCCTGTTCGACTGTAGGGCGCTGCACGTCGAATTGAAGTTTTGGGGTGTATTATATAGGACAAAGCGTGTAACGATACTCCCTTTTACACCCTCTTTTTCTTGAGAGTGTAGGTTATTCTACTTCCTGCGAAGAACTCCTATCCTTTACCATTTGTACAAGAGTGCATTCTAAATCATAATCAGGGGCGCTCATCATGAACGAGGCCATGGAACACAAACAATTCGTGGTGTTTATGTTGGTGTCATTGTTCATGTTGGCTATACCAAAAGTAAAAATTATGGTAAATATTAAGAGAAAGTCTACATTTGAATCGTATGTAGTTTAGAAAAATACATAAAATACACAACGGATACAAATGTTTAACTGCTCTAATTAAATTGAATCAAAGGAAATCGAGTTTGAGAATGATGAACACCCCAAAAAAGCACGATCGCGGCAGCCGGGACTCTAGTAACAGATCAAGTGTGCTAGCTCTATGCTCTTTTGGGGTTTTGTTTCTCTATTACATATGCAACAATGCGGAATGTATGTATCCAAACAGAGGTGGTCTGGGTGAACACGTTCCGCCGTGTAGTACATAAGCGGCACGTTTTTGGCACATGGTGCGTGCCGAAAATAAAATTACCTTTTGCCGTGTGTGTCGGCGGGTACTTGGCCTATCTAGGAAAACGGAAGAACTGCGTCGGTCCGACTCGGTTTGTTGGTACATTTTGCCGTGTTTTCCCGCCAACTTCAGTGTCCCCGGCGGAGCAGCTGCCGTGTGTGTATTTTCGGCGTCACGTCCGCTAGGTGGGACGGGGACTCCGACAAACAGGTAGTATGTCGATGTCGTTTGTAGCTCGTCCTCGTTGATCGCTGTCGGTTGTTGCTGTTGGTCGCTCTAGTGGGACTAGGTTCTCAGTACACAGCGCTGTCAAAGCTACTAGCGCGATTAGGCGGCTTCATCTATGGTTTCGTTGGCGCCAGAACGCGTCCAAAATATCCGCGAGATCAAACCCCATGACGATAAAATTAGCTGGAGAAGGGTAACAAGGGGGACAAGGGACAAACGCAAGTCTCCAAACACAGCTAGGTGACTGGGGTGCGACCGAAAAAATCCGACTGGTCCTAGTATCGAACTAGGAACCTCTCCATATCCTGCGGAGCGCTCTATCAACTGAGCTAACCAGGAGTTAGATGTCAGTAGAGCAAACGGTTTTTATCACCTACCACCAGTCTAACACCAATAAGGGTGAACGGCCTATATTTTACTAATTATGATAATAATGTAATTAATGCGAAGGTTGAAGCGGGCAGGACAAGAATGACGATAATAATCTCTGAAGAAGAGGAACACGGGGGACAAAAGACAAACACAAATCTCCAAACACAGCTAGGTGACTGGTGCGCTACCGACAAAATCCGCCTGGTCCTTATATTGTAACAGAAACCTCTCCATCTGCGTTGGAACGCTCTATACTCCGTTTCACTTTATGTTGTACCGCAGCGACGGCTAGAAGCGCGACCTCACAGCGTTGGCAGCTGCCCTGAATGCACGAGAGCTTGTGCCGCCGAGATGTGCCCCAGAGCAAGGAGCTCCCGCTTGTAGCCTTTCCTGCGGTACATCATACGGTGAAACAGAGTACTGAGCTAACCAGGAGTTAGATGTCAGTAGGGCAAACGGGTTTCATCAGCGGCCACCAGTCTAACGCCAACAAGGTTCAACGGCTTGCATTTTAAGGTTATGATAATAATGCAATTGATGCAAAGGTGCAAGCAAGCTGGACAAGAATGACTATAATAATCGCTGGAGAAAGGGAACAAGAGGAACACAGGACAAACAAAAATCTCCAAACGAATCTAGGTGACTGGTGCGCGACCGATAAATTCAGTCGCGTACCAGTCACCTAGCTGTGTTTGGTCATATTTGTCCATTGGGTTGTGCGTATGTTTATAAAGCCTAGAACTTGGCCTGCCTCAACAGGCGAAGACTCTCCCAGCTGTAAATGAGCAATACACCCTTTTTAAAAATCCCAAAAGCCCGCGCGCGCCGCGCGACGAATAATGGGAGTCCTCGGTACGCCCCTCCCAAAGTCTCTCTTCCCGCTACCAGGTGGCATACGCGAGCAGGCGGAGGTTATCACGGCAACAACGTTTGAGCAGCTGAGAGCCGAGTCAAACGAGTGACGAGCCAACGGCTGCCCCTTTTTCGTCCCCCTCCTTTGTGCGGGCTTTGTCGACTGCTGCAGCAACGGTTTGTCAAACCTGGTCGTAACCCGCCGCGGTTGCGGTGCAAAATAAGCGGATTCGGTGACACTTCAATACGTGAAGGTAAGTTACGACGAATAACGTTTTCAAATAAGTTCACATGTCGCGATGTGTTTACGCCGCCACAGATACGGTACACCGCCAACGACGTACGACTCGGCGGATGGGCGGGGTGGCGGATGGCTGCAACGGCTGCTGGTGGTAGCTGCCGGGACGCGCGCAGTCACGGAGGCGC